CAGCTTTCTAAGGAATCGCCATATTGCTTTCCACAGTGGTTATATCACTTCACAGTCCCACCAGCAGTGTATGAGAGTCCCAATCTCTCCACATCCCCACCAGCATTTGTTGTTTTCTGTCTCGTTGAACCTTGCCATCGGTGCTGGGGTGGTAGCTCTCATTTTTAATAACTATCCAACATTTCATTGAATGGACATACCACATTTACTCAGCCAAGCCCCTAGTATTGGACAGTTCCATTTTTTTCCAATTCTAGTGATTCTAAAAGTAAAACTGGAGCACTTTTTGCCCAGGGGCTTTGAGTGTCCGTTAATTGTGGGATCATTTGCAAAAGGATAGCAAGGATGGTTGCACGACTTGAAGAATATTGTCAATGACACAGTTACATATGTCAAAACTGTTATATGTGTAGAAACTGTTGAAACGGCATATATTTTGGTGTGTATTTTCACTAGTACAAAGAGTAAATAAATAAGGCTGGGGTGAACATCTTGGTCCTTGTTTGAATTTTTTAAAAGATGCCTTCCCAGAGTGGCTGAGTGGTGGTTGTCATAGGGGGTAGAGCCCCCCTCTAGGGCACCGATGTGCAGTGGGGGGAGGTCTGGGCCGGGGAGGCCTTTCTGGTGGTGGCTCCATGACCCTCCGAGTCCAGCACGGTCAGCCTGAGGGTGTGGAGGAGCCTGTGAGCTCAGGCCTCCCGTGGGTTCAGGTGCAGCTAGTCCAGTCCCTGGCGGCCAGCAGGAAGCAGGCTGCGGAGCACCCTGTGAGCCTGAAGAGCGGCCACTTGCCCTTGATGAGGAAGGTGGAGGCGTCCAAAGGAGAGATGCTGACTCCCCGGCAGCAGAAGTGGGCACACAGCCTGCCCAACGACTGGGTCACAGAGAACCCTGTGCTGTACAGGTACGTCCTGCCACCCAGCCACACCCCAACCACCCTGGGTGTACTTCCAAGTCTTCAGAAAGTCAAAAAGAGCTCACACAACATGAGGGCCAGGGACGGCTTCGGTACCTTCCGTGAAGGGGGAGGCCATCCTACGGACCTTGCAGGTTTCTTTGCTTCCTCCTCCCGCCCCCTCTTTTTCCTCCCTCCCCCTCTTCTTCTTCCCAGTAAGTATTGATTGAGTGCCTAGGCCCAGAGGGTGGGGATCCCACCCTCCTGAAGCTTGGAATTCCGGGCTGCTGAAGGAGTGATGAGGACACACACCAAGCACTTCCGACAGGCCTGGCTTTCTGACACTGGTCATTCATCCCCTCTGATCCAGTATCCCCCCGTGAAGAGTGGCTCCTGCCGTCCCCCCACTTCGTTTGCAGCCAGATCCCAAACAAGCTCCCTGAGGGCAGGAACCTGGTCTCCTTAGGCCCTGGCAGTGTCTGGTGCCGGTTGGGAGACCGGCCACTCCCTCGGGGTTCTCTGGAATTGGGTGGGGTCCGGCCATGGCCGCTGCCCACGGGCACTGTGGGGACTTCCCTATGCCCGCGATCAGCCCTGGGGCCTGGAGGTTGACTGTTAACCCCTGCTTGTGTTTCAGGGAAAAGAAAATGGCCAGGAGGGAAAAATCCCAAGAGAGCGAGAACACCATCGCTGCCCGGGAAGTCCGAGGCCTTGGGGACACCATTGGTGAGCCTCTGGCCTGCCCTGGGGACAGGCCTGGTGCAGGGCGGGTGGGGCAGAAGAGTGCTGCAGGGGTGCTTCAGTGGGGAGCCGTGGGCGACAGCCCTCACTGCTTTTCTTTGCTCCATCCCGTAGTGAGGTTCTCACGGTGGGCTCTCAGGTGTCAGGGGAGCGCGCTCGCCTTGTACCTTCGGTGAAGGCAGAAGCCCTGACGTTACCTGCAAGCTGGGTCCCCCCTCACCCCTGCGCCCGGTGAGGGTCCAGCGGGTGATGCGACAGTGGACGCAGTGCTGGAGCGCTCCCCAGGCCTTGCCTTTGGCTGCCTTCACATGTCAGGCTGGCTTTGCACACAACATAGCTGGGACATACGGATCAGTTTTGTTTCCTGTTTGGGGCGGAGTGGCTCCACCCCCTCATGGACCACGAGGATTTGTAGCTTCCCAGGTTTCATCTGAACCAGTTACCTGGAGTTGAAGAGCATGGCTCCATTTTCCTTGAATGGTTGGGTTTGGGATTTGTGACCTAGAAGGCTTCTTAGTGAACTTCATTAGCGAGTGGGGAGCTGTGGTTATAAAATGTAGTTGTTGGTATCAAGGGTTGGTCCTGTTTGATGGTCCTTAGATGGGTAACTTCCAACCCCAACTCTACACATCTTCTCTGACACCAACTGCAAATGATGTTTGTGGCCCACCATCCAGAATCAGATCCAAATGTCCCATGTTAAAGGGCACAGTCCTTCAGACTGCCTCGTCTGCCCAAGCCTGCAGGCACCAGAGCACACCTGGGGCCCCCAGGACACCCGCACTTCTGACCTGCTGGCTACAAATTCAAGGCCTCCCTCTGCCCCCTCAGGCCCGTAATTCACTATAACAACTCACAGAATTCAAGAAAGTGTTACCCTTACTGTTTCAGTTTTATTATAGCAAAAAGGATACAAGGGAGAAGACGGGAGGTCTGGGAGGGTCTCCAACACAGAATTTCCATGTCCCATGGGATGCATTGCCTTCCCATGCAGTGATGTCTGTCATCAACCAGGAAGCCCACCTGAGTTTCAGCATCTGGTGCATTGATGTCTGTCACCAGCACCAACCAAGAACCCCACCCATACTTCAGTGTCTGGTGCAATGATGTCTGTCACCAACCATGAAGCCCACCCTACCTTCAGCATCCAGAGCAGTGATGTCTGTTGCCAACCAGGGAGCCCACCTGAGCTTCAGCATCAGTTTTCCTTAATGTTGCATTACGGAGGCATGGGTGACTAAATCATTTTCCACCTGGCTGAGTTCAGTCTTCAGCCTCCCTCCTCTCTACAGAGGTCAGGCTGATTATCAGATGTATGGTGTTTGATAGGATGGCCAGCTCCCATGCTGAGATACTGAGTATCAGGTGTGGGCTGAGGACCCCACTAATAAAGACACTCCTGTTACTTGGAAAATTCCAAAGGTTTGAAGGTTACCTACCAGGAACAAAGGCAAACCTCTGTGGGTAAGGTAATGCTTTACACCCACACTGTTCCATAACCCCTGTGCCTAAATCTCACTCATAAAATGGGGAACCTGCCCCTTGGCTTCACTATGAATAATTGAGTTACAACAATACCCAGCAGACTATATTGCCAGATAAGTATTGGTTATTTTTATATGACAAGTATTTTCATCTATAAAACTTAAAAATATAAACGGTACCATTCTATGCATCCCATTCGGGAACTTTTCTTTTGCGTTGAGTTACTGTATACCTGAGACCTCGTTCCCTGTTGCCCTTAAGGATCACGTTCATCCCTTTTCTTTTTCCTGAGGCTGGCTACTGCTTTGCTGGCTTTGGACACAGGCCCCAGTGTGCAGGCCTCTCTGCCGGTACATCTTCTCCTGGGAACTCTCGCATCACCTTGCAGCCCTGAAGGCAGACTCCTCACCTCTGTTGTTTCTCCCGTAGTTCCTGAGAAGATAAACACCATCGCCCTTCAAGGGAGAGGCGACTACAAGAAGGGCAGCTATGAGAGGGCTCTGGTGAACTTCCAGGAGGAGATCGAGCAGATCGGGCTGGTGAGAGTCTTCCCTCTTCCCTCTTCCATTCCTGTGCCATTCCAAAGGTAGACTCCTGCTCACACACACTCTCCTTTCCACCCCAACGTGGAGGTCCTCAGTGGCACACCATGGTGGGGATGGACTCACAGTAACCATCTGTGAACACTTAGTGCCTACTAGGTTAAGTGCTAAGCTTAGATCTCCTTAATTCTTGAACATACCTGGAGTTAGATATGCCTCTTGTCACCATTTTGCAGGTGAAGTCCACAGAGTCTTCCCTGAGGTCACACAACAGGTAGGAACCAAGCCAGAACTGGACCCTAGGTGTGACTCCAGAGCCCAGACTCCACACAGTCCTACTGATGAGCAGCCACAGGGCTTGGCCAGACATTGATAGTGTGATGCTGCCTGACGGTTTCCATCTCCCTATGTTTGGCTCTTCCTGTTCCTCTCTAGACACCTCATCCCGAGCCATGTTGGTTTCCGGAATGTTCCCTAAAGAAAACCTCTGAGCCAATTCCCTTCCTGGTTCTCTCTGGCCCCCAGACATCACTTTCCCCTTTTGCCCCAAGTCTTCCTTACCTGGCCCTACACTCCTGAGCTGGCTTTGTATCCAAAGCACCAAGAACATGTTCCTCCAGCCAGCTCCCCACTTTCATATGGACATCCCAACTAGACACCAGCTTCACTATCACCACAGACTCTGTAGCCTTGGTCAGGCAACTTCTCTGAGCTTAGTTTCCTTCTTTGAAGTAAACTTGGAATTCTTTCATTTAGCCAGTTCTTTAATAAATGTTTGTTGAACATCTTAAGTTAGAGTTGTGATGGGAATCAGGTGGGAACAGAGGCTGCAAGCTCAGTGTGGGGACAGTGCCCAGCGCAGGCGTGTGCCCAATGGCAGCTGCCACCTGGACTGCAGTTGTGAGTCAATTATCAGGGACACATCACTCCTTAGGACTATGTGGTGATTATTGTTCTTGAAGACAAGGCCATGCCTGCTCCTTCCCATTGTCCTTCTGGCCTGTTTTAGGAAATGGAACCCCTCATCTTGGAGTCGGGAACCCTTCTTTTGAAAAAGTTGGCTGAGTGTGATGAAGACATTGACCATCTGTTCACAAAGGTGGAAAATGACCCCAAGCTCCAGGAATACACCATACAAGTAGGGGTCCCCTCTTGGCTGGGCCTCCCCACCTTCCCCTGCCTGGTCCTGCTTCACTTCCCTTCCCTCCTTCCTGCTCTCTCCCCATTTAGACGCTGTGGGAGCTGCAGGATAAAGTAACAGAGAAGTGTGTGCTCCGGAAGCAGGGGATTAAGGAGCTGGACGAAACTCTGCACTCCCTTGAGTTCTCAAGAGCTGGTAAAGTGAGTTGGCAGACAGGCTCCTTGGTGGAGTTTGCCTGCTGGATATGCTGGGCATCCGTCTGTTTCCTTTGAGTTAAGAGAGTCATTAACTAAGACTCCTTGTCATTCATTTCTAGCTGAAAGACGTGTTGAAGAAGTATGTGGAAATCATTGAGAAAACATCCTATGTCATGCTGCACGATGTGTACAGACTGATGAACAAAGAAGCCATGGTGAGTGGCCATCACCTGGGGGCTTAGTCTGCAGGAGAAAAGGAGCAGGACCCCCCAAGGCCCCAGAGCTTGTGTTTCAGGAATGGCCTGCTTCTCATACGTAGCATTTCCAAGTCACTCTAAGTTTTAGAATTGGTGGCTTTGTTACTCTAAGCATTTCCAGTAGAAATCTTCCTGAAGTACATTCTAGACTTCCCTGCCATCATAAGCTAGTGTACCTAACTACCTAACATAGTGTCACGTGATTTTACCCCGTGCCCCCTGTGTTGGCCATTGAGTTGGGCCCATAGGATGCAAGGAGACCCAAGTTCCTGGTCTAGTGGTGCCCCATGCGTGTTGGCAGATCACGGCATCGTGTGAGGGGCCGTGTCTCAGCTGCCGTGTGCACTGGGTCAGGTGCTACTTTACGGAGTCGTTGTCTCAGGGGCTGGTTAATCTCAGGGTGGTTTGCACCCTCCTCAGTGACCACCGCTGCTCTGTTTGTCTAGTTTTTCCCGTTGGTCTTGACCCCAGGCAGTTCCACATCTCTCAAGGGTTTTGAAAAACGTGTAGAGGCATTTTTCGTTGTTCCAGTAACTTGTGTGGGGTCGAGGTGACTACTCTCATTTAGGGGAGCAGGGACACTAAACAGAAGAACAGTACCCCACACAATGAAGAACTGTCCCCAGCCTCCACCCCGACACCAAGAGTGCCTAGGTGAGAACCACCTCAGGGTGTGTGGAGAATAGTCCACCTCTGGCCTTATTTGGTCATTGGAGAAAAAAGACAGTGCTCACAACGACCGTTAAGTGGCTGGTCTCTGATGATGTGGGCTCTGGCCTGTGGAACAAAATCATAGAGACAGATGACTGCTTAGCTTCCCAGGAGAGTTCAGTGCCTTTCACCTTGTCCAACAAATGATCTGCCCGTGGATAAGCCTTCCAGGAGCACCTTCACCTCCACAGCAGCTGTTCAGCCCCAGGGAGCTTCCTTGGGGTGCCCACTGACCCTTTGGTACTCCATAGCATCTTTCAGACCCTGTCACCACCATGCTTGACCACTGCCCCCCTTGGCCACCACCCAGCTCAGACCCAGGCCCTTGGGCTACACTTCGCCCGGCCCCTCTCCAGCCTCCCACCTCCCCTCTGTAACTGAGCCTTTGTCTGCCCCGTGCGGACCCCTGCCCGCCTGTGACTGCAGATCATAAACCAGGCCCTGCTGGGCAACCGGAGGGCCATCGCTCAGCTCTTCCTCAACCTGATGGAGGCCACCCTGCAGCAGGAGGTCCGCGTCCACCGCCGCTGGCAGGACCTGGTGGACACCTGGAAGGCACTCAAGAAGGAGGCTCTGGTGCAGAGTTTCAGGTCAGTGGCTGCCCACACTGCGCGCAGGGCACCCACCTTTGGCAGTGGGGTGGGGCGGGGGTGGCGTGTTCTCCCCTCTTCAACCCACCTGGCAGGCCAGCACAGGCTTGAGGGGTGTTCTTTATCATTACTCTGTTTTTCTGGTGGTAAAGTTAATATGTGCTCTTTTTTAAAAAGTAAATAAGTAACCTAGAAATTAAGATTAAGGTATAAACAAAGATCACCACTGCTCCCTCCCCACAGTGTAAAGCACTCTGCATTTTCTCAAAGGTTTTTCAGGCCCACAGTGTACGTGCAGTTTTAGAGCTGGTTTTCTTCATTAGTGTTATTTCATATGCATTTCTGAGCTCAGTACAAATGGTTTAAAAACATTATGCTGAATTTCTGCATAATTGCCACTTCTTACGATTATTCATAATCCTGGGTCAAAGAGGATGGATATCCTTCAGGCTTGGGATACATCCCCCCTTGGGTAGCCTGTTTCACCCTTGGGAGGAGGGTGAAGAAAGGCCTCATCTCCATGTCCCCCACCAAGTGACACTTTGGTTCAGACCAACACAAGAGTCCTGGTGCTTTCAGTGGACAAGCAAGGCTTTCTTTTCTTTTCCTTTCTTTTTTTTTTACAAAGGACACTTTGGGCCCAGATGTCTGAAGGACCTCTGTGATCCTGGTGGGGGTGGGGGTGGTAGGCTGGTCTGCCCATCTTCACCTGTAGGTGACAGAGAGCACTCTTCACCAGTGTCTGACACTGGGCATGAAGGAAAAGTAAATCAGGCCTGGCTGTACCAGGCCTTGATCAAACTTGTACCCTTGATCAAGCCACCTGAACCTGAGCCTGTCCCTTTCTATCCAAAATGGGCATATGAATGGACCCAGTGACAGGATTTCAGGTGATACAGAAGATACTGATGGAAAGTCTTGCTTTGGGCCTGGTCCTGGGCAACTGTCACAGACTTCAGTAAAGGCCAGCAGTGGCCACAGACAGTCGTCACCTACCAGGCACGGTGCCCAGGGCTTGCCTTATGTTACTGAGTCCTTCCAAGTTCAGTATGACGGAAGTGCCATCATTAGGAAGAGGAAACCGAGGCTGCAGGTGGCGACCTACCCAAGGTCACAGGAGTGACCTGTAATGAGGTCCAGGGGATTGGGGGCTGGTCAGAAAAGAGACCTGACCTTGAGCTGGAATTGCACAAGCTGTTTGTTGGGGTGAAGCACTGGCAGCGGCCTGCAGGGGGCGGCCCGCCCCTTAGGAGGTCTGCCAGAGGTGGCAGTGCTGGAAACCACGGGACTGGGAGGAGGAGGAGGGTGTGAAGAGAAGAGGTGGGGCGGGCATGCATCTGAGCAAGGTCCTCCTGCAGCGGAACGGACGTCTCTGGGTCAGAGAGCTCCGAGGGCAGCAGCACCTTCGGGTCCTTCGATGTAACTACGGGGTTTTATCTTATGTGGCACGAGCAGGTGTGGGCCGCAGTTGCACAGAGTGTGTAAAGCAGGCAGGGCCCTATGTGGCTAAAAATCCGCTTATTTGCCCTATTTAAAAACAATGAGATGTATCCATATTTGAGTCTGGCACCTTCAGGCCTTGAGGGGCTGCTGGCCTCAGCTTGTTACGAAGTAAACTGCTTGGGCCCAGCACAGTGAGACTGCCTTTGACTCTATGTCACAGGCTGCCACCTCCATCTGTGCTTGCAGTTGTCCCCTCTCAGCTAGGGGCTGAGAACTTCCCTAGGGGCTGTGTCATCATGCCTTCACCTTCCCTCCCTTCCTCTTTCCGATTTTCCTGTCTTCTCTCCCTTCCTGCCTCCCCCCCCCCTGCATCCCAGTGGTCTGGGAGGACAGGAAGGGGGATGTAAGGGAAGGGGGTTCCTAAGGCTCTGGATGATTTTACCACGCGTCTCTCGTCTTTCCCCCCTGCCCCACCCCTTCCCTCCTTGCCACGGTGCAAACGTTTCCGGCTGCCCAGTGAGTTCATGGCCAGTGAGGAGGTCCAGTCTCCTCCAGCTGTGAAGAAGGAGCTGGAGGCCATGATGAGAACCCAAAAGAGCCTGCAGTGCAAGCGGCTGGAGCATCTCTCCAGGTTCTGGTACGACAAGAAGGGGGAGGGATCCAGTGGGAAGGCGGCTCTGCCATTAGCAGAGATCTGTCCCCTGAGGCAGCGTGCAGAGCAGGCCGTCTCCAGTTCTGTGGTCACGGCTGGTCTCCGGGCATGCTCTGGGGCCTTCCGCCCCAATGGCAGGAGAGAACATGGCATACTTGCTGCAGAGAGAAGTTGAGTGTAACTTTAGCGAAAAGCTTGAAGGAAGGCAGTGCTGAGGGTGGCAGAGCGTGACCAGAGTGCAGAGGGTCTTCAGGTCTTGGGAATGCATATGGACTTCCTTCTGAGGCTGTGGCAGTCAAGCGGCTCCATCAGCTGTGCTGCCCACAAGGGTGGTTGGAGAGGTCTTGGGTTGGTGGGGTTTAAGGCTGGAGGCCAGCAGGTTGGTGAGAAGCTGCTGCCATTAGACAGGAAAACAGGAAGAGGCTGTGGATGCTCATCTCAGGTGGGCACCTCCAAGCCCAGCCTAATGCTGTCCTTCAGGTTTCAAACTGAATGTTCTAGATACCAAGAAGAGCTCACTGCCCGGTAGTGAGTTGTGTCCACCCATAGCAGCTGGGTGGAGCCTGTGAGGAACTTCATGTGTTGACACTATGGCCCTCCTCTTCCCAAGTACCTTGCTCTCCCTCCTACTCTGGTAGCCCTGGGTCACGGGCTCTTCCCTTAACCCCACCCCAGAGCCTGAGCTCTCTTCTCACTTCCTCCCTGTGGTTACCTTTTCCCTGTGTCCTTCTTTCCTATACATTCCTGCCCTCTGAGCTTTCTCTCTGTGCAAATGTTGTCCTTCTGGTCTCCCAGTGTTGATTGTTCTAAGGAGTGTACCTGACTGATATAAATGTTCACCTTGTAGACCTGTCTGTTGTTTGGCTGGAAGTCACAGGAGTCAGTTCAATTCCAGGCCCAAAGGGGGACTAGGGGCCACAGTCTTGGGGATTTTACCAGTCTCTATCAGACCAGTTTTCAGTTTGTCACACTGTGGTGGCTGGAGGTTATGCCATCGGTATTTCAAATACCATCAAGGTCACCCATGGTGGACAGGTTTCAGCGGAGCTTCCAGAGTAAGACAGACTCAGAAGAAGGAAGGGGCAATCCACTTCTCAAGGAATTGGCCAGTGAAAACCTTGGGAACAGCAGTGACACTGTCTGATATATGACTGGGAAGCTTTATGGGCAGCCCTGAAACGTCATCCAA